ACTGCAGCATGAGCTACGGCACGCGAGGTCATCTGCAGAAACACTACCACTCTCGGCAGCACTTGACGAGGCTGTGTGTGAACCTGCGCTATGATGAGGCAGCTATGGACATCAAGAGCCTGCCCCCAAACTTTCTGCGTTCCCTCACGGTGGACGAGAATACAGGCATGTTGTCTAAAACTGAGGTGGATAAAATAGCTAAGTTCAAGGAAGAACAGAATAACAAGAAGTCTCCTACTGCTCCTGCATCTCATATGAGCTGCTGACGTGGAGTTCTTTTTTTGTTTTGTTTGCTACAAACCGTCTGTGATAAAAAATATAACCAGTGAATCTCTGGGGATGCAATTTGTACGCCAAAGCGGACGCCCTTCTGTCTGACCAGGGAAATATGACCACATATCCAGAAGATAGCGCTAACTTTACATCTTGTTTTTCGTTAGAATTGTGTACATTTAATTTTACTTTTTTTTACATTCAGCCTTGGAGCCACTCCGAATTTTGCTCAATTGTAAAGAACTTGAGTAACTGGATTACTCTGCTTTTGTGAGCCATTTGATATTCAGTAAAAACTTGTGAAAAGTTACAAGTATACGGGCCTTTTTTAATGGATTTGGGGCAAACTTTGCTGACGTAACTTTCAGGGAAAGGAGATGCTGTGACTGCTGCCGACCAAGAAAGAGGAGGATGGACTCTCGGTGTGTTCCAGGATGGGCAAATTATTAATTCTCGCCCCATTAAGTCTTGAAGCAGCGATACAGCTACCTCATTTGGTTTGGACACTGGAATACAGACAGGACAGGACACTTTCTTTTTAAGTAAATTCTTGGTCGTTCCTGGGTTTAAGTTAGGACACAGGAAGGGTATTCCTGGAGCTTAAAGCGAAAAGTTACCTGCAGTACGAGGGAGAGGAGGGATGGGCTTCCGAGCCTGACCCTAATCTGTTTCCGGGTCAGTGCCTACGCTTCTGACACACCAACCAACGAAGTTCCTGGCCGTCGATCGTGATAACATGCCCCTCAATTACTTCAGTTTATTCAGGCCCACTATCGCACAACGTTTTTTTAAGTCGGTGTAAATAAAAAGGAGAGCGCTGTGGAGCCTCGGGAGACGAGCAGCCGTAGCTACGAGCAGTTCAGCTAACGAGCCAGCCACTCGCATAAAATATGTTTCGCTTGATGAACTTCTGCTCAGTTAACGAGTTGTTAGTGCGTGTATGTGTGTGTGCCTGTATCCGCCGTTGAGTCTCGCGCCCAGGTCGTGGGTCCCCAGCCGTATTCAGCCAATCAGTGAACTGATGCAGGCTGATTGGCTACGAGCTCGGTGCCGGAACGGATTACACTCGTTAACTGAGGCTCCACTGTAAATTCTTTGATGTCTCCTCCCCGGCGTCCGCCAGGTTCGCGCTGTCGGCTTTAGTTCTACCCAATTATATGATACAGACTGGACCTTAAACACGCCGATCAAACTTTCGGACATTGCAGCAGGTCTTGACTAACGTACTAAGCGTTTTGAGCAAACTGAGGTATCCACGAGGACTTCCTCACAGAAAGTACAGCAGGTCACATATCTGATGCAAGGTTGGGGATTGGGGGATTTAACACAAACTTGAGGTCATTTATTAAGTTCGTTGGGTTGGCTTGAGGCGCAAAATGCTGTTTACTAAAATTGAATTCTATTCAGATCAGTATACTTGGAGAAAATATAGGCGGAAATGGGCGAAATCCAACCTTTGTTGATATCCAAGGAATTTCCCATGCTATTAAGCTCTGCGGAGAAAAGATTCATTTGTGCGTGCTGAAGTATAAAAATACATTAACAAAGCGCACAACTGTTTAATTATATTTGTTCACAACAGAGAAAATTTTGTTTTGCGTTCATGAAATTGAGGTTAGCGTACTTACGAGATACAGCATTAGAGTCGAGAAAAGGTTGATGAATTTAGTTAACAAATGTTTGCTCTACAAA